GGGTTTGATTCCTCAGCACCACATAAGCAAAAAGAAAAAAGCCAGAAGTGGCACTGTGGCTCAAGTGGTAGAGTGCTAGCCTTGAGCTAAAGAGTTGAGGGACAGCACCCAGGCTCAGAGTTCAGGCCCTACAACTGGACCCCCCGCCAAAAAAAAAATGGATGAAGTAAAAGAAAAGACATTCTTTAAAAAAAAAAAGAGTATATTAGAACTTTATAACTAACATAACTAGTTTGTTAGGAACCTTAGAATATTTATTCTGGGTGAAAAATATCAAAAAAGATTATTGGGGAATTTATCACAAGAATTTATTTGGATACATAGCTTATGACATATTTGTATGGAGTTAGGATTTTATAATTAATGTTGAAAATGCTTTGTATCTTTCCATAGATCACATTCCAGTTTATAGCAACATTTTCTACTCTGGTGCCTTTAGTAGATTGTTCATGTGTACTTCAAGAAAGAAATGACCTCACAGAAGTAAGCACCTTTTTTTGTTACAAAGTGTTGAGTTCTAAATTAATACTGTGTATGGACAGTAATAATTGACAGTTTAGAAACTGGATACATTCTGCAAAGTAAAATTGTTATTTTGAGAGTAGAGTGGTATAAACTAAGTATAAATGAAGAGTCAGGCTCTCATTAATAGGTTGTATAGCATTGGAAATAAGTGAAAAATAAGCCATTTCTATTAACAGCTGCTGCCTGGAGTTATGCTTCAGTTTCATTTCTATCACTTTCCAGTATTTTGCTAAGCACAGGTGGTTGTATTTTGTTTTTACCATCATATGTTAGAGGCTATTGGGACATTGGCATTTGATAAAGCGAGTTTTTCTTCATGATTGTTTCTTTTAGAACTGCTAAGAAGCAGACTTTGAGCAGAGTCTCATTAAAATAAAAACCATTTTAGTTTGTCATGAGAAATCTAATGTCAATAGATTTATCATTTATGAGTATAAGTTAAATGTTCCTAAATTAAAATTGAAGCCTTAAATCATACAAATCAGCGTGCTAATTAAATCTGGAAAATCTAAGAAGCCTAATGTTCCAAGCTCATGCCCAAACATTCTGTCAAAGAAGGTTTTTTTTTTATTGTAAAGACCCATCCAAGAATGAAATAACTTGCACCAAGGATAAGTATGTTTTACCATTATGGTTGTTACACCAGTGGCCCTTTTTGACAGAGGCTAAGATGGAAGACTGGATTTACATAGAGCCTAGGACTTACGTAGTTTATCAACCTTTATACTCTTGATACTTTGAACCAGTTAATTCTCTGTTGTGGAAGGCCATCCTTCCACTGAATTTAATATGTTTTGCTTCTAAGGGCCTACTTTTTCAGTTTTTATATTGTTAAATGTCCCCTGAGGAAAATTTTTCCCATATATTTCCTTTACTTGAAGCATATTATTGCTTGATTTGTATCATTTGGAAATAATTTGGATAATGCTATACTACCTTTAATGTATAAACTGGCAGTTTGAAAACTAGAGTTGAGGGGCTGGGAAGGTGGCTCAGTGGTAGAGCGCTTGCCTTGCATGCATGAGGCCCTGGGTTCGATTCCTTAGCACCACATAAGCAAAAAAAGAAACAAGCCAGAAGTGGCACTGTGGCTCAAGTGGTAGAGCACTAGCCTTGAGCTGAAGAGCTGAGGGACAGCACCCAGGCCCAGAGTTCAGGCCCCATGACCAGACCCCCCAAAAAACAAAAAAACAAAACAAAACAAAAAACTAGAGTTGATACTAAATTTGGCTGCTTCTGTTTTGGCTCATGTAAAACACGTTAATGAATTCGGTTTTGAGAAAGTAGTAAATGGAGTTGTTATAAATTGTTACATATGATTGTTGTATTTCTGCCCACTATAATAATTTGGTATTAGATCTGTTTGCTAGGCCATAATTAATTGATTTTTTTTTTAGTTCAGAGGAAAATATAATCCTTTCAGTAATTGTCTTCACTTTGGGATGTTATAGGTGGAAAGAGAACTTTGTTCTGCCACAGCTGAATTTGAGGATTTTGTCTTACAGTTTATGGACAGGTAAGCTGACAATCTAGACCTGTCTTTTCTCTGATATTAAAAAACACACCTATTCTGTTCTAGAAACCTTAGTTTCTCTTTGCATTATAACCTTTTTGTGAAGTTACAGATGTTAACTTGTAATTAGCTAGTTTAAATAATCATGACCAAAAGGATTGTTTAATTTTTAGTTGCTAAAATTATGCTTTGTTTGCATTATTTAGATGCTTTGGTCTTATAGAAAGTAGCACATTGGAACAAACAAGAGAAGAGACAGAAACTGAGAAAATGACTCACTTGGAGAGTTTGGTTGAATTAGGACTATCTTCTACGTTTAGTACAATCCTCACACAATGTTCCAAAGAAATATTTATGGTAAGAGAGAATTGCTGTACAGTTATCCTCCAGTCTTATTGATTGATTTGGTATTTTAAAGTTGATCTTTAGTTACTTTTTTTTTTTTTTTTGGTGAGTTGTGAGGTTTGAACTTGGGGCCTGGATGCTATCCCTTAGCTCTTCTGTTCAAGGCTAACACTGACATTTTGAGCCACAGTGCCACTTCTGGTTTTCTGGTGGTTAATTAGAGATAAGAGTCTCATGGATTATCCTACCTGGGCTAGCTTTGAACTGTGATCCTCAGATTTCAGCCTCCAGAATAGCTAGAATTATAGGCATGAGCCACCAGTGTCTGGCTGGCCTTCAGTTACTTAATGTGTGTTACACAGTTGATGCTTTATATCCAGGTCCTCATTATTTCCAAATTCCTTATTTGCAGATATACCTATTTGCTAAGGATTGCTTTGCTTTGCTTTGTTTGTCTGTAGAATCCATCTCACTGTGTAGTCCAGCTGGCCTTGAATTCATAAATCCTCTGCTTCAGCCTCTTGAGGCCAGGAATTACTTGTAAGCATGTGGGACCACACTTAGCTTGAATATGTCATTCCAAACTCAATATTCAGTTGATGGGCATGTTCCCAGCTCATATCCAACAAGGCCACATACATTCTGCTGGCTTGAATTTGTCATTCCAACCTCAGTATTCAAGTTAATGGATGGACATGTTCCCAGCTCATATCCAATAAGGTCTTGTTTTAGCTCTTACATTGTTCTGAAAGGGATCTATTTATATTTAGTGCCATGTTTTGAGGATGGTTTTTGTTGTTGTTGTTGTTTGTTTTTTTCAATTCTTGGAAGCTTTTCTTGGATCATTTTGCTGTACAGAATGACCTCCAATACTTAAGTGCTTAAGGAGAAATCTAGTGTTCCTAAGAATAATATAGTTAGGCTGTGCCTAATGGACAAATATCGTACGTTAGGTGTGTGTCCACCGGCATGGGTGGACACTATATTGCTGTTGACTTGAACTCAAGGTTAATGAATCAACAGTATGTCCTTAGTAAATGTCTGTAAATAGAAACACACTTAAAACAGGATTATGTACTAATAGATTGATAAAAATCTTGTGTTGTAGTTAGTGGCTGAAAGCAACTTAATCCTACATTTTCCTTAGGAACATTTGTTCAGTATTTCTTAGTGAATTATTTGCAGCCACTTTAAAAAACATGATTATCCTGAACAAGAAGTAGTTGTATTCATTAATTTAAAGAATTTGGGTAGTAATTGGGTTTGAACTCCAGGCCTCAAGATTGCAAGGCTGGTGCTCTACCACTGGAGCAATGCCTCCAACCTGGCCATAAGCCATGAGCTTCCAGATATCAGCCTCCTAAGACACTGAGATTACAGACATAAACCACTAGTACCTGACCTTTTTTTTTTCTTTTAAACACAGGTTCTCAATATTTAGATTGAGCATCTGCAACTCATTTTATAGTCCAGGTTGGCTTTGAATTTATAATCCTTCTATTCATTCATTCTGAGTACTAGAATTAGAGGCCTGCCACCACATGCCCAGCATTGACTATATATTTTTTTAATTTACAATTAAATATAATTACTTTGGAGAAAAGCTTTGGGAATTCTTTATACCATACTAGATAGATCATACTGGGGGCACACTCAGATGTTAGAACCAAGTAAGGTTGGCCAACCACCTACTCTGATGTTAATAATCAACTGCCAAAAGGTAGAAAACAGTCAAACAAGAAGAAATAGTATCTGGCTTCATGGTACCTTAGGAAGAGTTGTTTCATAAGGAATTAGATTTAGTACTTATTTGATGCTGGAGTGTATACTGGGTTAGCTTTAAGATTACTGTTTATTTCTATTTTTTTTCCTGAGATTAATCTGAGATTATCACTGTTTAACACATTCATCCTTAAAGCTGCATGAAATAATTACTTAGATTTATGTGAGTATAAAGAAAAAGAGAATACAAATCATTTTTTAAAAGAAAAATGTTAATAGTTTAAAGCATTACTAATCTTGAGTTTAGAACTCATTTTTTTTTCCAGAAAGTAAGTTCTGTGACATGATTTTAAAATTAAGTAGGCTGCGTTGGGTCTTTCAGAGTAGCGGTAGATACTTGTAGTTGATAGTTGTCTTGTAAGAGTTTATAATCCAGAAGATTCTCTTGTTATATTGAGTTAGCTATCAAGATAATTAAGTTGAATTTGCTTCCATTGGCTGTCATGTTGTATATAAGTTTTCTATTATAGCAAGTGAAATCTAGGTATCTCAAGTATTTTGTTCATGTAACAGTCATCTGCAAGTTGTTCTTAGACCTCAGTGTAAAGTTTTCATCAAAGTCTTATAAAACTAGGCGGTTAAAACTTGTTATTTGGTTGTTTTTTGCATATCTGGTGTATATTTACCATTTTCTTTATATTTCACAAGATACTTAATTTTCTATAAAACATTGATTAGACATGTTTCTTACACATTCTTAACAGGTGGCCCTTCAGAAGGTTTTTAATTTTTCTATTTCACATATATTTGAAACAAGAGTTGCAGGCCGTATGGTGGCAGACATGTGCCGAGCTGCTGTAAAGGTGAGTTTATTATTAATATTTGAGACAGGGTCTCACTTGTAGCAGAGACTGAACTCTAACTCTCCATCCTTTTCCCCTAGCCTTCCAGAGTGCTGTGTTTAGGTTTTTTTTTGTCGTGGGGCCTGAACTCTGGGCCTGGGCACTGTCCCTCAGCTCATCAGCACAACCACTTGAGCCACAGCGCCACTTCCAGCTTTTTTTTTTTTTCTGCTTATGTGGTGCTGAGGAATCGAACCCAGGGCCTCATGCATGCAAGCAAGGGCTCTACCACTGAGCCACCTTCCCAGCCCCTGTGTTTAGTTTTTTTGACTGATAAGTTTAAGATTAAGCAACCAACAAGTATATTCAGTTTATTTTTTTCAGAAGTTGCTTATACCCTTGCTGTTTTTAGTAGTACTGAAAATAGTGCTACTGTATATTTTTTGTGAAATGTTTACCTTTCAGAAAACTTACATCTGCAAATATATTTTCAGTGCTGCCCTGAAGAATCTTTGAAGTTATTTGTTCCCCACTGCTGCAGTGTTATAACTCAGCTTACAATGAGTAAGTCATAAACTTTTTATTCTACCTTTACATAATGGTAAGAATCCATTTTTTCTTCACTTCTAGAATGTTGTCAAATGACAACACATTTCTTCGAGCTGTGCAGTTTTTACTTTGTAATTTGTGAGGAATTCACCGCCTTCTATCCCATATGTCCCATGTGTCATCCAGGCTATCAGTTTAGAAATTGTACTTTAAGCTGGGCATTTGTGTGGCACATGCCTATAATCTTACCTACTCAGGGTTGAGACCTAGGGGACCTCGATTCAAAGCCAGCCTAGGCAGAAGAATCTATGAGTTTCACCTCCAGTTAGCCAGCAAAATGTTGGAATGGAGGTGTGGCTCAACTGGTAGAGTACCACCTGTGAGAAAGAAAGAAACAACCGTACAGGATCCTGAGTTGAAGCCCCATTTTCATTGTATAAAGAATTTTACTTAAATATTTTTATCCAGCTATCAAGTTATAAAAATATGAATTCTGCCAGGCACTGGTGGCTCATGCCTCAGGAGGCTGAGTTCTGAGGATCGTGGTTCAAAGCCAGCCCCAGCAGGAAAGTCCATGAGACACTTATTTCCAGTTAGCCACCAGAAAACCAGAAGCGCACTGCATTATGGCTCAAAGTAGTAGAGCATTAGCCTTCAGTGAAAGAGCTCAGGGAAAGCTCCTAGTCCCAGAGTTGAGGCCCCATGACTGAATTAATAAGAATTACCAGCAAAAAATAAAAATTAAAAAATATGTATGTATATTGCTTTATGAGGTACTGAAGGGGAGTACTCAAAGTTTTGATTGTTACATTTATTTTCTTGAAGATTGAGTTTTTACCCCTGTTTGAAATGGGTTCACATTCATGAAGAAGAAAGAAGTCTCTGAAAGAAATTTTCTGATATTAACCAGAGATATCTTTGAATGATGTATTTGATTGCATGTGTGCATTTTCTCCCTAATACTATTTTGCCATGTTTTAGATGATGATGTGTTGAATGAAGAAGAACTAGACAAGGAGTTACTATGGAATCTACAGCTTTTATCTGAGGTATTGGAAATTTTTGGAAGAAAAAAATATGAAAATATTAACTTGCTTTTAAAGATTAGCTCTTTATGGGAAATTGTTTTTTAAGCATATACAAGGACCAAAGATTTTTTTTAGCATTTCTTGATACATTTCAGAAAGTACAGATATTTCATACTCATTGTTTAAAGGAGTATGGAAATTAATACTGTATGATTTCTACTTGCCTGAGTTTTTGCCAGTTCTAATGTGGGTAACGTATTAATTGAACAATTTGTTAAATTTTGGAATTTGTTTCTTTTGCATTAAAAATTTGGCCATCGATCAAGCTTCAGTTTCCTTTATGAGATAGTTTAGAAATTTAAGCAAATAAATTTTATTTTATAAAATCCTGGGCCAGGGAGTAACGAACGTGGTTTTAAGTGTTAAGAGTGCCTAACTAGTAAGCATACAGTCTTAAGTTCCAAACTCCAGCACCTCTCCCCTCCCCTAAAGTAAGAAAGGGACATGTGGGGGAGAAGAGAGAGAACCATTTTGAAAAGGGTGGTACATGAAAACTAAAGATCAGAAAATGTGTTTGATTGTTTTTAAACAATTTTTAACAATTAAGATAGTTTTTGAACAAATTAAAATCATTTTAAGAAATATTGTTTTAGGCTAATTTATTGGAAATCTACATTCATTATTCATTCTTGATCTTTTAACTAAAATAGATTTAACAATTTTCTTTCCCCCTTTTTAGATTACTCGAGTGGACGGGAAGAAGTTGCTTCTTTATAGGGAGCAGCTTGTAAAGATTCTGCAAAGAACCCTGCATTTAACTTGTAAGCAGGGTTACACTCTGTCTTGTAACCTTTTACATCATCTTCTTCGTTCTACTACACTTATCTACCCTACAGAATACTGCAGTGTACCAGGTGGCTTTGACAAGCCCCCTTCTACATACTTTCCTATCAAGGCAAGTATTTTCAATTTTAAGGATGCAAAGCTATATTGGATTCTTTTTCTAAGTGACTTTTCATATGGGTTTTGTTTCTATCATTATGTATAAAGATGTCAGTTCAAAACTGATTATGGGGGGGAATGGACAAAAAACTGGGTGCCCATACCTGTAATCTTAGCTATTCAGGAGGCTGACATCTGGGGATCACAGTTCAGAGCCCGTGTAGACTGCAAAGTCCACGAGACCCTTATCTCCAATTAGCCACCTGAAAACTAGCTTATAGCTCAAACTAGCCTTGAGCACATAACCTAAGGCTCAGTTAGGTGCCCAGGCCCAAGTTCAAGCCCCACAGCTGACAAAAAAGAAATTGATTATTAAAACTTTTATTGGAGGGGGTCGGAAGCTTGTCTCATATGGTAGAGTATTAGCCAGCGAGCTAAAGTGCAAAATATTGAGTTGGAGGGCTGGTAGGTGTGATGGGGGTGGGGCATTGGGGGAGTGGGATGGGGAGGACAATAACTTTTATTGGATACATTAACCTTGTGCTGTCTAAAACTTATATTCAGCCCAAACTCATAATTCCTTTTCTCTCTCCTCTTGCTCAAATTGGTGGTCTTGAGCTGTGTTCCTCAGGCCTCAGCAGTGCCATCAGCTGGCTGATTTTCTTTTCTATTTGCACATGAAACAACTGAGTGTGCCCTATTTCATTTCTATCATTTCATACAGTTTCTTTCTAATCTATCTAGTCTCATATAATCATACTGTCACTATGCATATTAGGTAGCTCTTTTGGGAGCGTTTTCCTTAGGAATGCTAATGAAGGGGCAGTGTTTTCATTGATAACCTTTTGTACATTATTTACTTATTTTGGATTACTTCTTCATTTTTTGTTGACTTTTATATTTTGTAAAATACATATTTTATTCAACTTCTCAACTTGCTGAACAAATGCTTCTCATTTCTAGGACTGGGGTAAACCAGGAGACTTGTGGAACCTGGGAATCCAGTGGCATGTTCCTTCTACAGGGGAAGTGTCTTTTGCTTTCTATTTGTTGGACTCCTTTCTCCAGCCTGAGCTCATCAAACTCCAGCGTTGTGGTGATGGGGAGCTTGAAATGTCTAGGTTGGTTTTCTTTCATAATCATTTGGTATTTTTTGTCAACTAAAACAAATTACTTAGTATTCTCTTTCAATGTAAAATTTGCCATAAATGTACTTAGAAGATTTTTTAAATTTTTACTTTTTATTGTTAAAATGGTAATGTACAGAGAGGTTGCAGTTAAACCATTTATTTTTATTTAATTGAAAGTTCAACAACACTTAAAATTTTAAATAGAAAAACTGCAGGGTTCTCTCCCCACCCCCCTCTAGTTTCTAAGTGGAAACTTTTTATTTAGCAATTCTATTTATTTAATTATTTTAAAAATGTGTATAAGTATGCTCTGTTTGTAAAGGGAATACCAGTTTTCTTATATTGGGCTTAGATTTGTTTCTTTTTAATAACTCACATTAATGTTACTAATAAAAGTATCTCTATGAGATTTTTTTTAAGTATTTAACAAAAAAATTGCTTTGAAACTTTACACTTTCATAGTTTGTATCTTTGCACTTTCCTAAAGTGATAGTAGGAAAATTAGTATGTGTTAAGCTCCAGAAATCTTTAATGGACTTGATATTGTCTATGTAGTACATTAAACTACATTTGAAGCAAACATTTAGCCAGTAGTGTTTTTGAAAGATAAATTAAGCTACAATGGCTGTAGCACTGTTAATGCTTCTTGATAGTGATCTTTATGATAAAGATGTTATTAAATTGAGAATTGCTTTACAAAGAGAAATTGTTACTTGTAATATTTTTTAAAGCTTGTTTAAGCAAGCCGATTTCATGTTAAATATGTTTAATTATCCTATATTATCTTAAGTTGATAAACTGAAGATGTTTGCTGCTTTCTTGCTTCTTATATATGCCTACATCCTGTTTCCCCAAGACACTTTAGAACTCTTAAAGATTAGAAATCTTTTAAAATGACAATTCTTTTATCTTTAGAGATGATATTCTTCAGAGTCTGACTATAGTGCACAACTGTTTAATTGGCTCAGGAAACCTCCTACCTCCATTGAAAGGAGAACCAGTTACTAACCTGTAAGTAAAAATAACTGCTTTACATATTTTGCTGTTTTGCCATATACTTTGCCATGTATTTTAAATATTTGCGACTTAATGAGCTACTGGTTTTGTGATTGCTCTTGTTTCTGTATTGCTTTATTTAAGCCTTTTATTTAAAAATACCTAAGGCACAATTTAGGATTATTTTAAGGACTTTTCACATTTTCATATGTTAAAATGACTAACTTTAGATATTACTATATTTAAAACTATCAGTTTATAGGTGTTAAGTTTATCCACTAATTTAAGGTATTCTTTTTAAAAAAATCTTTCTTTTCTCTGCAGTAAAATTGATTTAGGAGTTTGTAGGGAAAAAGAAACTTGGAGTATTTTTTAATTAAAAATTTCTTCAATGTTCGTTATTTTAACCATATTTTGAATGAATTATCTCAGATTAATCCACTATTAGTATTACTATGTACATTATATAATATGATTTAGAATGAAATCAACAGTATTTATTAACTCTACTTATTTAGTAAACATTAGTTTCATTATTCTAATATCTTTTCATCATCTCATTACTAAGCAAGGTAATTAAAATTACATAAGAATGAGTAGGCTAGGCACTGGTGGCTCATGCCTATAATCCTAACTTCTCAGGAGGCTTGAGTATCATGGTTCAAAGCCAGACTATGCAGGAAAGTCCATGAAACTCTTACCTCCAATTAATCACAGGAAAAGCCAGAAGTGGAGCTGAGGCTCAAATGGTAGAGCACTAGCCTTGAGCTCAGAGGAGATCGTGGACAGTGGCCAGGCCCAGAGTTCAAGCCCCACTACTGGCCCCCCCCCCCCAAAAAAAAAAGAGTAGTAGACAATTATCCCATCTTCCCCTTCAAAAAACACAAAGAAAGGAATGATTATTTCCTTTGTTTTAAAACAACAATAAAACTTAGAATGCTCCACTGAGTGGTTTCAAAAAGGTGGCATGTGGGCTGGGAAGGTGGCTCAGTGGTAGAGCGCTTGCCTTGCATGCCTGAGGTCCTGGGTTCAATTCCTCAGCACCATATAAGCAGAAAGAAAAAAGCCGGAAGTGGCGCTGTGGCTCAAGTGGTAGAGTGCTACCCTTGAGCTGAAGAGCTGAGGGACAGCACCCAGGCCCAGAGTTCAGGCCCCATAACCGGACCCCCCCAAAAAAAAAGAGCTAAAAAAAAAAAGGTGGTATGTCTGTCTTATATTTTTGTAGCCTTTTCTATAATCTCCACTTTTTTAATCTAAACTATTGAATTTTGTAGTTAGATTGTGATGCTTAAGAGGATGTACGTCATTTGAGGCAAAGAAATTATTTTAAGTATGCCTAAGAGTTTGCTGACTTCCTTTAAAAGAACTTTGTTTTATCATTTGTTTTGTAGTTGGACATAAATGTGCCAGAAATTCATTTTTGTTAAGTGAATTTGATTTAAACAGTATTTTAAAATGAGAAACCTTCAGATTTAGCAACAAAAAATTTCCAATGATGTTTCCCTATAATAAGAACTTAGTCTATCTTTTATGGCATACTAAGTTATTACCTACTTAATAGATTAGCATGTTAGTAAATACAGTTCTCTTGGAAGTGTTGACTGTGAGAGAATTGTAGTCATTTAAGGCAAAGGTATGTTTTTCCTGTTAGGAAATTTTTGGTATCAAATCCAGCCATGGTAGCCCATACCTATATATAGTTCCAGCTACCAAGAGACCAAAAGGAACAAGGTTTGAGCCCAGTATAGTCAAAGGTTAGTAATTCCCCATCTCAACAAGCTGAGTGTGTGTCTTTGATCCCAGCAACATGAGAGGTAGATAAATCTGAGGTTGATGCTGAATAAGACGAGATAATATACAAAAAGTATATATAGCAGAAAGATCTGAGGGCATGAATTAAGTGTAGAATGCCTACCTTTAGTAAGTGGGAGCCTTGAGTTAAAACCCAAATGCTGCCAAAAAAGAAGAGATTTTTAGTATATGAGTGATCGTTAGAAGCTGGTACTTAAAAGTTAAGGAAGGTTTTATGTTTCCATTGCAGTTCTTATTAGGATGTAGTCTATTTATGCTATGTACATTATAGTAGGAATTTAAGCAAGTTTTCTTTTGAAGTGTATGTTCATCATGGCAAAAGTTAGTTGTAAGCTGGCTGTAATGGTATACACTACCTGATTCCAGCACCTGAAAGCTGAGGTAGGAGAATCACAAGTTTGAGCCCAGTTTGGGCTATATCATGAGACATTGTCTATCTCCCACAACATTATATAAAGTCAGCTTGTAAGGAACTTAAAGTGCAGTATTTTAAATTGCTCTACAGTGGACTTATGCATTAGAAGCTCCAAAATTCTGAGTTTTAGGATTTTTCTGAAAAGGAAAGATGTTTAGATAAAAAGTTTTTAGAAATTTTACATTTAGAGTAAAATTTAAATATATTTAAGAATAAATATGAAAATGTTTTCTAAACTTAAACTTTAAAAAACCCATTGAATAATTGTGTATTTTAGGATTCTTTCTAGTTACTATTTCTACACAGGATAATAGTCATGTAATACAGTATTAAAAATAAATGGTCAGCTCTTCACATTTGAATTCCAAAAGGGGGCAAATCTTCTTTTGCCTTGTCAATAGTTCTTTTTCTTTGGTTGGTCATGGAGCTTGAATTCAGGGCATGGGCTCTGTCCTTGAGCCTTTTCACTCAAGGCAAGCAATCTGCCTCTTTGAGCCACAGATCTACTTCTGATTTTCTGGTGGTTAATTCAAGATAAGAGTCTCACTGACTTTCCTGCCTGGGCTGGCTTTGAACTATGATCCTCAGATCTTAGCATCCTGAGTAATCTAGGATTATAGGTGTGAGCCACCAGTGCCCAGCTTCGTCAGTAGTTCTAACAGAATTCTTTCCAGTTTATAACTTCTGTCACCTTTATCTGAAAATTTATTTTTTCAAAATGTGGCTTTTCATTAAATTCCTATGTGTAGTATTCCTTCTTTTGCAGAAGACACATTAATTTTCACCAAGGAATAATAAACTAATAATATAGATTTCCTAAAATGCTTATTTTTTGTAGTGCGGTAAGGGTTATAATATTCTAAGTTGAAATTGCTTTGAAAAAAACAAAATAATTTAAATTGATGACTCTGTTGTTCTGTGGTCTTTACTCCTACTGTGAAGAAAGAATATCTGCAAAATAAGGCAAGAGAGAATATCAATAAGTTAAAACATTACTTAGGGTATTAGTTACTACAAAGGAACTAGAGGGAAATACACTAGATGAGAAAGTAAAGGGTCAAATCTGAGACTGACTCTGCATACTTTTTTGATGAGAGCTTTAGTGAAATGTTTAAGATATTTGAGGAAATACATCTTGCTGATAACAATTTGATTATGGAATTGTGAGACATTATTATGAGATTCATGGTCTCAGATTCTAAACTGCTTGGAGCATTACATAGTATTTCAAATAGTATTTCAAATTTTGTTTTTTTGTTTGTTTTTTTTTGGGTCTGGTCATGGGGCCTGAACTCTGGGCCTGGGCACTGTCCCTCAGCTCTTCAGCTCAAGGCTAGCGCTCTACCACTTGAGCCACAGCACCACTTCCGACTTTTTTCTTTTTGCTTATGTGGTGCTGAGGAATCGAACCCAAGGGCCTCTGGCATGCAAGGCATGCGCTCTACCACTGAGCCACCTTCCCAGCCCCTAGTATTTCAAATTTTAACTTAGGCGTTTTCATAGTAGTCTTATATTTTCAGTAAGGTAACTCAGTATTGAATTTGCTTTGTGTATGTATTGATAGTACGATATTGATCTTCTGTGAAAACGGTGAAAACTTAGAAGCTGAGTGAATGTACTACTGTGTTTTCCTGTGGGAAGATCTAACTTAGTTTCTAATAAACTGTATGTGATAATCTTAATCTCATTGTTAGAGAAATGGCTACCAAATGTGAAAGCCTATATTCTGTGCTATATGATTAGAGATTGACAAGTATAAAAACCTAACTCGTAAGCGTAAAAGTAATGATCTACCTATAAGTATACTTGTACTTTTGTGCTGGTAAATACTTGTACTTTAAATTTCACAGTGTCAAAGTATGGGTATTATGAGGGTAATTAAGGATAAAAATCTTTAAAACAGAACTTTAAACAATTTAAATTTTAAGCAATTTTTTCAGATACCATAGGTTACTGAATGAATTTTAAAATGGAATTTTCTTCTTTTATTCTTGGGACTTAAGTTAATGTTTTGAGATTGTGTGTACTATAGTTCTCATAGTTTAACCTTTATAGATATGGAAGTTAGAGTTTATTCTTCGAGGGTTATACAGAAATTTAGAAACTTGGTTTTAATCCTGAAGCCTTCAACTTCTCCCTTTTTCAGTCCACTTTCTCTATAATCTTGGTCTAACCAGCTATCATAGGACACAAAAAAACTTAACATCTACAAAACAGGGTTACTCAAGGTAGAGGAGTCACCATTTTTCATTCAAAATACTTCTTTGTGCCCCTTTCCTCAGATCTGTTAAATATTCTTAGGATCTCAGATTTTACTAACTTTTCACTCCAGAAAATTCTTAAGGTCTAATAGACCATTTCATTGATATGTGAAAGGATGTGTTGCATAATGCAATGAGGGGCAGGGCTAGCTAACCTCTCTTGGCACCTCCAGGAAACTACCCAGCTCTGCTGGGGAAGCTGCACACAGAAAAGGAAACAGTTACTACTCCACGGTGAGTAACCCTGTTTTCTCCTTATTTCACGTTCTGACTGTTCTTACTGATTTTTAAAAGCTTATGTGTCAGACATAAAATTGATTTTGTTCTCAAGGTTAATTTTAAGTCTAGTGGTTTATAAAATTTCTCTTAGCAACCCTTTGGTCATATGGTAGCCTAAGAGCCAGCTTATTGAATTGGATAATAACACACAGAAATAGGCCAATCATTTCTTCTGAAATTGTTTCTTGTTGATGGGAGGGACTTTTTAGTGTCTTGATTTTATGTCTTCTATGTTTTCATTGGGATAGGAAGTACTGGTTATTGGAAAGGACAGGATGTTCTTCCATGTGGAAAAATTCTATATTATTGGCTGTACTTGTTATGTGATAATTCACATAGTCTTCATTTGCATGTTTAATTTGTATTGTGTTTTTTTCATTTATGTTACTATTTTCTTGGTTTTTACCATCCTCTTTCCTACTTTATTTAATTTTCAGTTCTCCAAGTGTAAAGACTGCCATCTAGTGATACAAATGGCACATCATTAGTGGCAAGTTCACAGATCTTTTAAGTTGCACAGATACTTAACACTTCAAAAAAAAAAGTTAGGTGTTCTGGAGCTATCTAGATGGTAAAGCTTGACTTAACTTCATTATTATTGTAATTGTGTGGGTGAAATTATTTAAATATGTTGTATTGCTCAGACTTATTTACAATATATTTTATTGCTGACTTGCATTTAGTTCTCAGGTAAAATGGTAACATGTAAAATGAATGAACGAGTGAATGGGTAGGATGAATTTCACCTGTAGGGAGAAATGATGGTATTTGATGTACATTATAGATATTGGTACTATAGCTTTTAGGCAGAACTTAGATCTATAAGTGTTGATCGCATCTCAAGTCTATTCAATAGCTTAGATTACATACATAACTAAAAGTTCTAAACGATATTATTGAGTGTAGCCTGGTCATATGTAGTTTTGTAAGGTAGCCACAAAGAGTTATTCTTCCTTGGATAGTGTATAGAGATTTTTTTTTCAAAGAAAACCATTAGCTTATATGTAGAACCATGACCAAGCCAGTAGAATGCCAGCCTAGCAAGCCCAAAGCCCTCAATTTTAATAGATATGAAAAGATCAAATTAAAGTTGACTCAAATCAGCATGAATGGGAAGTAACAAAATTAAGGATCTAACCAGAAAGGAATAAATCATTTTTTATTTTAATGCATTAGTTGATAATTCAAACCTTTATACATAGCAGTAGCTTTTTAAATAGAATAAATGATAATCTTGAATTTTGAAATAGGAAGGCAATTCACAGTGACACCTGAGTTTAAGAAATTAGCATCAGGCTGTTGCTAATGACTCCTCGATTCTCAGTAGGATGGGATCTGAGGATTGAGGTTAGAAGTCAGCCTAAGCAGGAAAACTGTGAGATTCTTATCTCCAATTAAAAAATAGGAAGCTGAGCTGGGGCTCAAGTGGTAGAGAGCCAGCCTTGAGTGAAAAGAGCTTTGGAACGGTGCCTAGGCTTTGAGCTCCAGCCCCAGTGTGGCACACCAAAGACAGAGAGAATTAGCATCAGACATTTTAGATGTAATGTTTCTAAATGTGGTTACAGTATGATTGGTATTTCTAGAGCCATATATGTATATATAAAACAAAAAAATATCCAGAGCATAAAGTCAGTCTTTTTTTTATACAGTAAACATAAAAAATAATTGGGTACACAGCTTGCTTTTTAATCTTACTTATAAGAGTAGTGTGTCTAATTAAAATTGATGCTTGATTTAATATTATTATGGTACTAGTTATGAACTGGGTAAATACAACTAATGCTTGTAGCAGCAGTGAGGAGCCATCTGTTATATAACAGCTCATAACAAGCACTTGCCAGGCTCTATAAGAAAGAGCGGTAATACTTCCTTATGCTTTATCCTCATTATTCTTCAAATACAATGTATTTTTCTCTTCAATTGCAATAGGGACTTTGAAATCTGGTTTAGTTCTTTAAAAGCAAGATTTTGGATACCTAGGTATTTTTAATAATACGGAATTTAGAAGATGCTCTAATTTGCAAGCTGTTACCACAGGTTGAAACTTTGTAGAATGAAAACCAATTTTAAGAAAAAAACATCTAAAAAGCAAATTAGCATTTTATACTATAAAATATTAACAAGTGGGACTGGGAAGGTGGCTCAGTGGTAGAGTGCTTGATTTGCATGAATGAGGCCCTAGGTTCGATTCCTCAGCACCACATAAGCAGAAAAAGCCAGAAGTGGTGCTGTGGCTCAAGGGGTAGAGCGCTAGCCTTGAGCTGAAGACAGCATCCAGGCCCAGAGTTCAGGCCTTACTACCGCTCCCCCCCCCAAAGAAATATTAACAAGGCATCAAGTAAATTAGTAGAAGAAAACCATTTCCCTGTTTATACTTTATAGACTTGGTTTTGAAACTTACCCATTCACTGAATTATGGTGAGAAACATAGCTAAGTAACCTATGATCACTGAAGTAGTCTTTTAGTGATCATAATGTTACTATCAATTATTTAGCTAAGTATTATAAGGATATGTAGCTGTCAAAAATTAAGATAGCAATAACTCACTTAATTACCTTGGAGAATGTCATCAAGATGGGGTACTTGATTTAGAAGCAGTGCTTCATTATAAGTGCTGTACAGTTGGTTAGTGATCAATAATAATAATACAGTAAATTAGCCTGTATTGGATCTGCTTACCTCACCTCACCTTTGCTTGGCACTTGTGCCATGTTCCTCTTCTTAGAAAGTATCATCTCTTAATATAAAAACAGCTATTGAATAGTTTGAAATAGTGCTAGAAACTGAAGTATATATTTCATTGAAGAAAATATATATTTCAGGCACACACACACACGCACGCACGCACGCACACACACACACACACACACACACACACACACACACACCCCTCTTCTATGAACTCTGTTCTTACCCAGAAGGTTTCTTTTAACCTTCTTTTAAATGAATTTAAATAGCTGCGTCTGATTGTGGTAACATACTTCTTTGTGGCTGATTAAATTAGAAAATGTGGAATTTTTGCATTGATTTTTTTTCTCAAAATCAATTGTATTTTACTACAAGTATTATGAGAGATCCATTTTTCTGGTTTAAAGATAAATGGGTCATAATTATCTTTAAAAGCTTATCTGCTGTATGTGCTTTAGTAGAATATGACTGCATTTTACCTATAATTATAGTTATAAAGCCAGATTCTCTTTGTATGAATGTGTAAATGTTATTAAGTCATTGGCTTAAATTTTTACTTTTGAATTTTTGTTGAGAATTGAATGAATCACCTCTAAGGACACCAAATTAACATTTTCTTTAAGCAGTAATGTTAAACACATAACATTAATCTTCAGAAATATTGAAGCACTGAAGATCGGAAATCTGTTTGTTACAAGAGCAGCGCTATCTTTGTTTAGTTTAAAAATTCTAACAGACATTTCCTTTCTGTTTTTTGTATTGATATTATTAATAAATGTAAGCACTCTTGTTTTTATACAGGGTACCAAGTATGGTGTCCTTGGAGGAAACAAAATTGTATACTGGGCTTGAATATGGTATGCGAATCTTAATCTGTGTAAATCTGTGTGGATTATTTATAACATTCTATAAGGATTAAAGAATAGGTTTGTAGTTTGGATTTTTCTGGACTCTAAGTGAATCAGTTACACAGTAATAATTTTTTGCTATTTTAATATCTATAATTTTTTAATATTTTTGTTTTTTTGCTAGTCTTGGGGCTTGAACTCAGGGCTTGGGTGCTGTGCCTGAACTTCTTTTCCTCAAGGGTAGGACTGTACCACTTAAGCCACATTCCCAGCCCCAAAATTTTTTTTTGAAAGATAGCAGTTGGGTTACTCAATTTAGGCATTCTTATGTGCAGAAGTAGGCTGTCCTGCATCTTAGGTTTCTTTGTGGTTAAATTCTTTCAGGATCAATGCTTTGTACTTGATGTGAATGAAAATATTATAACCCCTCTGTTCTGATGATCTCTATATATTGTATAGGTCTATCATAGTGAGTTAAATTTTATTTTTCAAGATGTGGTAGTGGGTACTGACTGGGCACCTTTTGTATGATGGGCAACTGCTCTAGCACTGAGCTATATAACCCAACCACTTCAATTCAATTCTTACATGAAACAGGGCTGAGAATGTAATTCAATAGTAAAATATAAGGAACATTGCATTATGCTAATTTAATTTAATCTGAACCTAACATTTATAGAAACTTAAGCACACTTCCTTATTGGTGGATTAACAGTAGAATTAGTTATATACATTAAGCACTAATGCATAGAATTATTTATTCATATTTAACTAGTTTTATACACTTATTGCTTGATTTGAGTTCCCTGTAACTATTTAACTATGCATTTGTGACCCCTAGAGTTTTTGAAATGTTGTCAATGGTAGTATCTCTTTCTTGGGGGTGGGGGAATAGTCTTGTGGCTTTTAGGGCCTGGGAGTTGCCCCTGAGCTTTTAAACTCAAGGCTAGCTAGACTTTGAGCTACAGCATCACTTCTGGTTTTTTAGTGGTTCATTGGAGATGAGAGTATCAAAGACTTTGCTGCCCAGGCTGGCTTCAAACTGTGATCCTTAGATCTCAGCCTCCTGAGTAGGTAGGATTATAGGTGTGAGCCACCAGTGCCCAGCAGTATCTCTCTTTTTGCCTGCACACGAAAAATTTTAAACTAACCATTTTATCTTATTTTATGGTTTTGTTAGCTTCTCCCCCCCCCCCCATCCTGGGGCTTGAACTCAGGGCCTGGGCACTGTCTCTGAGCTTCTTTTGCTCAAGGCTAGCACTCTACCACTTGAGCCACACAGCTACTTCTGGCTTTTTCTGTTTATGTGGTACTGAGAAATCAAACCCAGGGCTTCATGCATGCTAGGCAAGCACGCTACCACTAAGCTACTTTCCCAGCCTTGGTAGCTATTTTTTGAGAGACGATCTTGCTATAGCCCACTTGATAACCTGAAACCTACCATCCTGCTGATTCCATATGCTGGAATCTTGAATGTGTACCTCCTCCAGATCCAGCATAATAAAAGTATAGGTTTGGGAGGTTAATTCTAATCTAGTGCCTAGTCACTGAATCAGCTTAGATGAAGAGGAAAAAAGAACAAAAATGCATGACATTCCCTTCCAACCCTGGGGTTTTTTATCCTTTCTATAATAAGCTATTGATATGTAAACATTAGTAATCTGAGGAGCATAAAGTGTGTAAACCGTCTTTCCTATTTTTTTTTTAAACTAGATACATCCAGAGAGAACCACCGGGAAGTAATTGCTAGGGTCATAAGGAAGCTTCTTAGTAAGTATATAAAGTATATATGTGCATTTAACTTACCTATATACTAAAAGTGTTTAAGAATTTTAGTCTCTTAGGTACTTTTATTTTAACATTTTTCATTTTACATCGTGAGAATTTGGAGCATTGTTTCTTAAGTAATAGATTGCAATTCATGTAGTAATACTAAATATTTGAACTAGTTTTTTTTTTCAACCATTGTAGATCATATACTTGACAATTCAGAAGATGATACCAAGTCATTGTTTCTTATCATAAAGGTATAATTGTCATTTTATAGTTCCATAATTATTAATATTATTGGGCTTGAATTGATGACATGTAAAATAAAATTTGAAATTATTTGACACAGATTATTGGAGACCTTTTGCAATTCCAAGGATCTCATAAGCATGAATTTGACTCCCGGTGGAAAAGTTTTAACTTAGTAAAGAAATCAATGGAAAATCGGGTCAGTATTTTCACATAAAAGTTTGAAATAATATTTTTTAAAAGATACATAAAATTTGGAAAATATTCCTGACTTGGAAAATAGTTTTTTATAAAGAGAAATCTACCTGTAAGTAGAAATAGTATGGATCAAATAAATCTTAGAAAAGATATATTTTACTTAGGCAAAATCATCTGTCACTTTGCATGATCATCTCTGAACTCTCAATGAGATTTTGGACAAGAGCATTTAGGCTGTCTTGAAAAAATGTAAAAAAATTGAAAATAGGAATTGTCTATTGGTGTGAATGTTATATAAATATAAGAAAATACATCTTACCTTTCTAACCTTATCTGGGAACACAGAAGAAACTGTACAGAAGAGCATAAATAGCTCTTCTTATACAGGGCACTTTTACTGAAGTTGACTTTCTAAAGGTTGACTGTTAATTGTGCTAAATGTTTTAGACACGGGGAATGTAAAAGGGCAAGGAGATTAAGGAATTGTACATTCAAAAACTCCTTATCAGAAAGGAGCATGTTTTCTGTTACTATTTTAATTGAGACACGATATTTTAAAATGTAAAACTGATGGTTGTAGAATGAATGAAATACCAGCAGTACTCAGTAGCCATACATAGATGGTCTTTGAAATTCTACTTTGTTTTCTAGCTCCATGGGAAAAAGCAGCATATCAGAGCACTATTGATTGACAGAGTAATGTTACAGCATGAGGTAAACATCTTTTTAATCACAGTTATCTACGTAAAATGCTGGCTGTGTAGTTAAAATTTTCATAATTAAATGAACTTTCAGTAAACACTTTGAGATCTGATTTACATCTTTTCTTAGCTACGTACACTAACTGTTGAAGGTTGTGAATATAAAAGAGTTCATCAAGATATGATCAGAGATCTTCTTCGATTATCTACCAGTTCATACAGTCAGGTAAGGCTTATCCAACACTTCTCTCCTTTTATTACATGCAATTTAAAATTTAAATACCCCATTTTAATAATGGAGTCTGTAAGTCTCTCCCATAGAGTGAGATTGATTGGAATAGTGTGTAAATGTATAGAAATAATGCTGAAATCCTTCCCACAAATAATGTAAGCTAATTAGAAAAAAATGCTCTTGTATAGTTTGCACAGCAAGAAAGTAAAAGAATAAAAACAAAAATCTAGGCTATTGGCTGGGAATGTGGCTTAGTGGTAGAGTGCTTGCCTAGCATGCATGAAGCCCTGGGTTTGATTTCTCAGTACCACATAAACAGAAAAAACCGGAAGTGGCGCTGTGGCTCAAGTGGTAGAGTGCTAGCCTTGAGCAAAAGAAGCTTAGGGACAGTGCCCAGCCCCTGAGTTCAAGCCCCAGGATGGCCAAAAAAATAAAATCTAGGCTTCTTTTTTCTAACTCATTAGCATTGAAAGGACCTTTCAAATTTCAAATATTTCAATTAAAAGAAATAATATAAATTCAAGTTTGCTATCTTCAATTGAATATTTGTTTAAATTTGAGAAATAATGCTAGTATGATACTATTGCCACTTGATTTGGTGAGATCTTAAAAGATTACTACTCTGAAGACCCTATCATTCTTCCTATGCATTATGCTTTGGTTTCAGAAGCTGCTACCATACTTGTAGGGGTCCGTTCTTTAAGGTAGGCTAAGACTATATCCAAGCACAGAGAACTGGAAAAAGAAATAATTTATAATGTAATCAATTAGTCTATCTCTATAGTAAATGTCTTTGCATAGACAGAATAAATGTGACTGTTATCAAGAAATAACTCAATAAATGTTAAATAGTCTGCCTCTTAGCTATGTTATCAAACAAATGCTTATCAGTTACATTCAAACTCCCTTTTATAAGAAGTAGTGTAACCTAAACCATGCATATGATTAGTGATATTGTGCTTTATTTTTGTTAATTATTTGCCCACTTTTTAGTAATTGTGATGTATTTTTTGGTTGATTAGAAAAATATTGTCACTTTGTTTTCATAATTAGGATTTTTTTTGTAGTTTGTCTGCTATTTAATGAGAATCTTTTGCTTTTTAATACTTTTCTCTAGGTCAGAAATAAGGCTCAGCAAACTTTTTTTGCTGCCTTGGGAGCGTATAACTTCTGTTGTAGAGATATCATTCCCTTGGTTTTGGAGTTCTTACGGCCGGGTAGACAAGATGTCACACAACAACAATTCAAGGTACATGTGTTTCAGTTTCACTATGACAAGTTTCAATCACATAGAAATATTGAAAGAATTCTGTAGTAAAATTATGCTTAAAAGAGATTTTCACATTTTGTATTGCAAATATTGTCACATTTGCTTTATCAAATAGCTATCCACCAAACTTATTTTATAAATGTAACTCAAAGTAAGTTAAAGATAACAGTACATCTTTAAACAAGGATAGTCTTTGTTTCTTCTTCTCCCTAATTGTTTACTCTCATGTTTGTGATTCTTATTATGGGAAATAGGTGATATAGCTACTTATGCTGGGTAACTAGGATGACATGCATGCACCATGACTTTCAGCCTTTGGTTGACTAAGGATCTGGAGAGTTTTATTTCTGCCCAGATTGACCCCAAACTCCAGTCTCAGCAATCTTAGCTTCCTAAATAGCTGGATTATATGCATGAGAATTGCTGCACCCAGCTACTATTTTTCAGTTTTCATCTTATTTGAACTCTTTAATTTTGTCCATATAAAACATTCTCAAAAAGGTCAACTACAAGCGGGGCTCTGGTGAGACATGCTTATAATCCTAGTTATTCAGGAAGCTGAGATCTGAGGATCATGTTTTGAAACCAGCTCAAGCTGAAAAGTTCATGAGACTCTTATTTCCAATAAACTACTCAGAAAAAGTTATATGTGGTGCTGTGGCTCAAATGATAGAGCATTAGTCTTGAGCAAAAGAAGCTCAAGGACAGTGACTGGGCCCCAGGACATGTACACACATAGACAGAAAGGACAACTACATTCTATCCAATAATCTAGTCTTACTGACTATAACACTCAGTACTGAGGGTCAACAAACCTTTTCTATAAAGAAATAAAAATAAATAATGGGACTTTTAGTTGCTGTGCCAGCTACTCTTTGGTGCCAATGCAGCATGAGAACAGCCATAAAAGAATGGACATGATTACTCATAAAACCAAGTAACTAAATCTAGGCTATGTAGTTACTGGTCTCTGCTTATAAGCTAATTAGGAAATGATATTTATTACTCATTTTAATGCTCCCTTGCCTTTTGACCTCTCCATCTCAGATCTTCTACATGGCTACTGGTACCCTCTGTCCATATCTCTCCCTCCCTCCCTTCATTTATGTATATGTTTATGTTCATGATCCTCAGATTTCAGCTTCCCAGTAGCATGAGCCACTGGCACCCAGCTGTTTTGAGATGGGGTCTTTTCATATTTGTCCAGACTGGTGTCCTAACTTCTAGGCTCTTGATCATCCTGCCAAGCTTCTCAAATAGGCAACTATGGGTTTGTGCCATTGTGTCTTGCTCTGCTTGGCTTCAAAAAGAGCCTCTCAATACTTGTGCCTTGGTCCTCTTACATAACTCCTAGGCTCTCCATCCCATAGCCAAAGATTTTAATTATTATCAATATACATGGAAAGGTGGTCTTTAAACTTCAGTATCTATGTCCAACCACCTTCTAGACACTGTCTCTAGAATTCAGTATGCTCAAATTGACTCCCTGTTCTCTCTCTCTCAAGCACCAGATGACCAGTTGTTCAGTCTAGAAGCTTAGTAGTAAATGCCTTTGTTTTTCAGTCTCTTCATAATCATTTACCAGCTCTCCATTGGATCTCCTTAATAAATCTTAATTTATTTCTCTCTGGTGATAAAAGCAGTGTATCTGCCCAGGTTCTATTGCCTCTCTATTCTTTGTCTTTTGTCATTTTTTTCCTTTTCTGTTCTAATTATATAAGCTTTCATGCAGTTGCTTAAACTTAAAACATTTCTTCCTGTCTTGGCTTCTTCTGTCTTGCTGATTATACTACTTAGAACTTTTTTGGTTTTTCCTGCCTCTTTGTCATGGGTCAGGCAGACTATTCAGCCACAAGTGCTCAACTTTTTTTCTCAGGGAAATCTTTGCTTCCTGAAAATATTTTGCCTAGGTAGGATGAATGTGCAGCCCAGTGACAATGACTCATGCCTGTAATCCTAGTTATTCAGGAGGCTAAGATCTGAGGACCGAGGAAAGATGCCAGCCTGTGCAGAAAAGTCTACATCTTTAACCAGTGAAATACTAGACGGGAAGTACGGCTCAAGTTGTGGAGTGCCCACTGTGAATGACCCCCCCCCCACCCCCACCCGTCACACACAAAATATCAGTACTGGAGATGTGGCTCTAGTATCTACTTGTCTAGGAATTCAAGCCTCCGTACCATCAAATGAAAAACTATTTAGGTCCCCAAAATCAAGGTTGCCAAGTAATATTGTGGAGAGCGCATATAGAGAGGAGTGGAATACAGGTTGGGGAAGAATTCAGATTGAAATGAAGTTAAATTAGGTTTTCCACAAATGATAGTGTTTCGATAATAATAGCTATTTTTATTTTTTAATAAGGGGAGATATCTTAAAGAGTATACCCAGTATCACCAACATCATTCTGATTAAACTTCCATGGGTAGAAAGTACAGAGTATAATTAAGTAATATACTTAGTAAAATACTAGGGAAATTACTTGTTTTCTCTTTTTATTGTCAAGGTGATATATAGGGGGTTACAGTTACATAAGTAAGGTAATAAGTAGATTTCTTGTCAAACTTGTTACCCCTAGGCAAATTATTATTATAATTATTTTTTGGTCAGTTATGGGGCTTGAACTTAGGGCCTGAGTACTGTCTCTGAGCTTTTTCACTCAAGGCTAGTGCTCTACCTCACTCAAGGCTAGTGCTCTACCACTTTGAGCCACAGTGCCAGTTTTGGTTTTCTGATGGTTAATTGGAGTAGCTCGGATAACAGGCATGAGCCACCAGATCCAAGCTCTAGGCAAATTATTAAATAGTAATTTCAGGCTGTGTTCCATAGCATATTGAATGGTATGTTCCATGCTGTTTATGTTTGGTTGAAAAACTCATTTAAAAAATAATTATTTTTTGTGTATTATCTTACTAATTGCTATTGTATTAGCAAACCATTTCCAAATTGCTGGATATCACTTACTTAACTGTCAAGTTCAGGTTTCTAGAAAAGAAGAAAAAAAAAAGTTAACCTGTTTTATAAACCCAAATATCAGGTATAGTTAAGTGTTCATTGTGGATGTGGATCCATAGGTAACAACTAAATCTTGCCTCTTATTTTCCAAATTATTTAACTTTTTTTTTTTTTCCTGCAGGGTGCCTTGTATTGTCTCCTTGGAAATCACAGTGGAGTGTGCTTGGCAAACCTTCATGATTGGGACTGTATTGTGCAGACTTGGCCAGCAATTGTTTCTTCAGGGCTTAGCCAAGCAATGTCTTTGGAAAAGCCATCAATAGTGAGGCTGTTTGATGACCTTGCAGAAAAGATTCATAGGCAATATGAAACAATTGGCTTGGACTTTACAGTAAGCAAATTCTTTCAGTTTTAATGAAAATGTTACCTTGTTGAAATGCCTTTTATTTTTCATGTCCTTTTCATTTTAATAACAATATTGTTGACCTTTTTAATGATTTCTAAAACAGGTGTTAGTTTTCTCTTACCATTTCTGTTTTTTTGGTGAATATTACAGATAACAGAATAGTAAATTTGAGCTTGTCCTTCAAAGAACCAGAGTCCATAATTGGGTTAATATCAGTTTTATTTACCATTGTTCAATGAATGTTAATGGCACATTTTTTCAAAAGTGTATATTAGGAAGATAGCCATATTAGATGAAGTCACAACCTACCGGGTATTGGGTTTATATTAGAGTGCAGAATATTCAGATGATTTAATAAATGAAAGAGATAAGTAATAATATTAAAGTTCAGTGATTCTTAAATGGAGAGATAGCAGGTCATCTAAAAATTTTCATATGTAGTCATACCATTACCATGTCAGAATGGATAGAATAAGAGTAGTTGAATCTCCCTCTTTCCTAAAATGATTACAGTTTTCATCTCCTCCTTGGTTTAAAAGACATCGTTATTGTTAGCCAGGCACTGTTGGCTCATGCTTGTAATCCTAGTTGCTCAGAAGAACTGAAAGTCAAAGTTTGGAGTCAAAAAGGGCAGAAAAAATCAAGAGACACTTACTTTGAATTAGTTGGAAGTAGATGTGTGGCTCAAGTGGTAGAGCACGCTAGCCTTAGCAAAAAAAAAAAAAAAAAAACTAAGGGAAAGGACAAGGTCCTGTGTTCAAGCCATAGTATCAGGACCCAGAAAAATTATCATAAAGAATTCATGTATTGCAATGTATCATTTAATTAAATATTTTAAAAATATTTTACTTGAGATATAATTCCCACAAAACTCATCCACCTAACACATAATTGTATACCTAAATGTTGCTCCTAATATATTGAGAGTTATCTAACCATAATCACTTTAATTCCAAATCTTTATCAACTAAAAATAAACCTGAATCCCACATTATTCCCCAACACTCTTAACCTCTGCAAACAAACAATTCTGTCTGTATGAATTTGCCCATTAATGGACATTTTATAAATGGAATCGGTATATGTGCTCTTTTGTGTCTGGCCTCTTAGCATAAAATTTTTAAGCCTCATCTTTATATTAGATCTTTCATCTTTGAGCTTAACAGTTTCAGAGGTTTTAGGTCTTGATCCTTTATATCTGTCACCTTAAGTATAAGGTAAGGCAAAAACTAATGGCAGCAGAAGTATATCAATGCATGGAAGCAGAGAAGAGTAACAGGAAGGGGCCAGAATCAAGATAATACCTACTAGAGGTACATCCTCAACATCTTCCTCTAACTAGGCTCTACCTTCTATAGCCTTATCACCTTTCAAAAGTTGATTCATATTCATCATTGTTTTGACCCATAATGAAGATCCTTCATGATGAGATTGCTTCCCCAAAGACTGTTTCTGAACACTTACTGTACACCAAGCCTTCAATATGAGAGCCTTTATTTATCCAAACAACAATCTGTGTTATATATTATAGCTCTTTATGTTTTTTAATCTGATTTTTTCTTAATAAGATTCCAAAGTCATGTGTTGAAATAGCGAAACTACTTCAACAGTCAAAACATCCTTCGGTTAACCAGACATTTCTCAGCCCAGAAACAATTCAAGAAGGACTTAAACGCCAGCAAGAAAAGAATGCTGATGCCCTAAGGTAATTAATTTATGAGTGATCTGCTAAAATAAATGTTGTACTTAGCAAGTTTTAAATAATGGTAAAATATAGATGTACTTTATTATTTATTGGTTTTTACCTATTGACCTGAGAAAATGCAAAAAGGAAAAAAAAAGAATGCAAGAAGATTGAGAGATAATGTATCACAAACCTCTGAATTTCACTTTTTAGCTGTGGAAGTAGAAAATATATCTTAATATGTTATTTTTGTATTGTATCTTTTTTTCTTTTTTTTTATTTTAATTTTAATTTTTTGTGAACATACTGTACAAAGGAGTTACAATTACATGGCAAGATAATGAGTACATTTCTTATCAAGCATTGCAGCCTCCTCCTTTGTTTACCCTTCACATCTCTTCCCAGCC